ATTTGGAGCCGATTAGGAGGAGTTCTGTTTTGTTTAAGTCTAGTCAGGTATTTATGTAGTCAGGTTTTCATGTTACTTCACGTCCTGTCTTGTCTGTCTATTTATGTCTGTCATATCTAGTCAAGTCCCCGTGTTTCATGTCATGTCTCGTTTTCCCATTTCCTGTTTTTTTTTGTACTTACCTCTTGTCTTTCATTTCAGGCCCTGTTACTTCCTCCCTTTGTGTGTTTTTCCGCCATCATCAGCGTCTGCCCTGCCCCTGATTGTTTCCACCTGTTCCCACTTCCCTCATGTTTAAATAGTCTTTGGCTGTTTCTCAATCGCGAGGATATTGGCTTCCAAGCCAATATTTCAAGGATGCTACGTCATCGAGTGCCGCCGAAGGACTGTTCCAATCTCCAGCATACTTGGAATTCCACAGAGGCCGCGTCCTTGGTTTGGGGGAAATTTCGAGGCTGCACATGGGTAGACTTCGCGTCCTTAAAATCCCCACAATGCTTTGCGCATGGACCAATTTCCCCAAATCTGTCGCGGAAGATGAAATGCGGGGCCTCTCATATGACGCACACTTGCTAGCCTGTTCCACTCTTCGTTTTCCGAATGCCAGGAAGTATTCTTGCCTTGCTTCTGAAGCAAGATGCTCGGCTCGGCTGTGCTACCAAGCCAGCATCCTCGCGATTGAGAAACGGCCTTTGTCTCCCCTAGTGATGTGTCGGTCGCGAACGAGCCGATTCTTTTGAACGGCTCTTTGATACGAACGAGGGGAACCGAGTCGTACTTGGTGAGAGCCGTTCTTGTTATCGTTCAATCGTTGGTCCGCACTCTCTGCCTGCCAAAATCCACTCGCCTTTTTTAAAGCTTGATTTTGTTCCCCACACGTATTCTGTGAAGACCCGCCCCTACTCTGATTGGTGGGTTTCAGCACGAGGAGTGAGGTGGGGTGGGTCTTAACGGAATACGCGAGAGAGAAGTCATAACAAGTGGTAGAGGACAGGTAGACCACGTGTTTTTCGGATGGAAAATGAGCCAAACGCGAAAACGCAGCAGCATTTGGATGCACTTCAACCAAAACCCAGGCAGTGATAAAGCGCACCATTTGTAAAGGCAAAATATCCTTTAAAGCAGGATCAACAAATAATCTCCATCGCCACTTAAAAACACAGTATCTAATATTAAGAGTTGCATGAAATTCATTCAAGGCAAGGCAACTTTATTTACTTAACACATAGAGAGGGTAAATTCAAAGTAGTACATTCACTGACATGAATGACATGGATATGGCGCCACCTTGTGTCATGTTTACATTGCAGATTATTGACATCAGGTCTGGCAATACAGTCAATCATTATCCTGGTGATTATTTCGCAGATAAACCTAGTAACCCCGCCCCCTTTTAAAAAATGGCTCTTTTGAACGGCTCTTTGAAAGGAACGGAGCCATAAGATCCGGCTCCCTTCAAAGAGCCATAATTCCCATCACTAGTCTCCTTTGTCTTGTGCCAGTTCGTCTTGTTTCAGTGTGCTTCACATGTCCAGAGACCCAGCATGTTACCAGAGAGGAGAGTTACCAGAGAGGAGAGTTTTGTTTGTTAGAAACCAAGAGCTTTATTTTGTCCTCGCAAGAGTGATCTTTTGTTTAAACTTTGTTTATTTTTTCTCATTAAAAAGTGAGTCGTTGCAATTGAGTCCAGTATTTTTGTACCTCGTTTTAACACTTAGCTTCTAAACTGCAGTATTTCACCCCTCTGGGGGCTTTCGTGCTCACATCTTCACAGTTGACATCATCTACTTTTTACCGTATGTGAATTCCTCTGGCTGTCTAATGCCGCGTTTCCACTACACAGCCTCGCTCGGCCCCGCTCGGCCTCCTTTGGCCGCGCCCGGCCTCGTTAGGACCAGCTCACTTTGTGGCGCGTTTCCATTACAGTTTAGGAACCGGGTCAGTATCTATAGTAACACAGTGTAGGCGGAGCGACGCTGCTTAAAACTGCCGTGACGTCATCTTCAATGCGACACAACAATGGAGATGTGAAAGCGATCGTTTGCTTGTTTTTTGCTGTGTGGTTTATTATCACAAGAAATAGACAAGAGTTGTTTCGAAAGAGGCGACGTATAGCAAGACGAGGTATAGAAGAAGCTGACGCGAGAGTTCGGGCAGTCCTCCTACGCCGCAGAGACTACAGGACGACTCGAATCACTACTAACTACAATGCTACTTGGTAAGCTAACGTTCGCTAACTAGCAATGTGTTTAGGCTCACGCTCCCTATACGACCAAAGTATTTCAAGTATTTAATTAATTGTAGCTACCACTTTTACGTATTAAAATATGTATGCTTTTGTTTGTGTATTTCAGAAGTTACCGACCGAGCTACCGAGTGGTGGAATGTGATTGTTCCATCTTTCACACACACTCAGTGGGTGGAGAACTTCAGGATGCCTGAGGAAAACCTACGTGTAATACCTAAATATTCATTGTATTGTATTGAACATAAATACATCTTTTCTTTTTCACATACATGTGTTTGTCAAATTATTTAAACCAAAAAAATGTTATCAGAATTGACTATTTAGTAAATATTTGAATTTCAAGCACCAGTACTGCCCCCATAATAATAATCTAATAAATTAAGCAAATATCAAAGCAAACTATAAACATAAATACAAAAGTGTAAAACACAACAGAACTATATTCATAAATGCAAGTGTAAAAAATTGTTAACATGGATGGAGGCTAAAGTATCCACAGCATAAAATAATATGATTATGATGGTTTGTCTGAAAGACACAGCCTCAAGGTTCAAGGTTTTTTATTTTGTCATACGAACATAGCTAGTGTAGTTATGACAATGAACATCTTAGGTCACAGGCTCCTCCAACAGTGCAACACAATAACCCAGATCAACAGAAATATAGTGCAAGTAAATATTAAGCGCTGTGCACCGCTCTCTTTGTATAGGTGTTTTCTTTTGTTCTCTTCTCTTTGAAATATATAAGCAATGTGTTTGAGTCTAGCACAACGAGGGTATTACAATTGAGTAATTTTTCTACATGTATTTATCATGTATTCTTAATACCATTACAAAATATGTAATGTTATGTTTTAGAGGAGGACCTCAAGCTAGCAAACTCAATTTCAAACAGTATGCAGAGTTGTCCTGCTAAAGAGTTAAAATGTATTATTTAACCAAGTATTTATTCTCTTATTTGCTTTAATTGCAACAGATGATAAAGGTTTCACTGTGATAAGTATTCTCTTAAATCCATAAACCCCTGTACAGTGCTTTGTGGACGATGGTGTTTATGATATTTCTGACTGCAGAGGGACGCCTAGATGATGCCATCTTTCTGTGTGATCGCTGGTGGGTGCAATTATTTATCAACAAGCAATAAGATAAGACATGGCATTGATTCTGCTGGGCCAGTTGCCGTTCCTGCAGGGCCAGATCCTCTCCTCCTCGGTTTGTGCTGTTGATGCAGAGGACGTTGTTCGGAACTGTTCCTCCTCGCTAGTCCCAATGTAATCATCTAGAACAGAAACATGACTTGTAAATTCCACAAACTACTGCAGCACAATACTATAAATAGCAACAACAACTATAGAAAAGACAAACTGAACGTAAACAATGGCACATATGGTGTTAGCAAACAATAGCTCTCGCTAATGCTATCTGCCTAGCTAGCCTTCGGGGCTCCATCGGGGTTGTCGAACATAAATGTAAGGATAAAATAGACTTATTTGTTAGAAGTGAGCTTTAAAACAGATAGGGACACAAAGCAGGGACACAAAGCTTTCAAGCAAATAACAGCGTTAGCAAAAACGTACCATGCAGACTCCAGTAACGCCGTTGGAGAGTCCAGTGTCTGTGTAGAGACCTCCTGAAAGACTTTGATATTGCGAGTTGTCCCGTCGAGCACCCGCTGGACCTTATCATCTGCAATATAATGGACGTCGTCACTTCCTCGACCGACCATGGTGTGCTTTTCTTTGCCATTGTTGTAGCTCCTCTGTTAACAAAAATGCTGTTTGTAAAAATGGATTATCTCGCGCGCAGATTGTGACGATTCTCTCCGACCAATCAGCAGCCGAGAGCGTTGACGTCACAAACTCAGCCCGGTTCTCTCGGCCCTGGCCCCACGATTTTATGAGGCCAGAAAAATTAGGAGAATTAGGACCAGCCGGCCGGTACTAGGCCAAGTGGAAACGCAACCACAAACGGGCCGCTGACGTCACAGCCCTCTTAAACCGGGCTGCGCGCTGTAGTGGAAACGCGCCATAACTTGTAAGACTAGAATAAGTTTAGTTAATCATATAAAAATGTGGTATATAACTTTCTGCAACTCATAGTATGGCTACAGTACATCCACCCTTAGGGTGCAGACATTATAGTTTCCTTTCGTCGTTTGATTAAAAAGTTTAGTCCTACAGTACGTATAGGTACTACTTTTTTCTAGTGTGGAATACAAATGTGAAATTTACCTAAGGGTAAGAGATGGGTTATTTAATGCAAAGACAGTTTTTATTTCTCCAATGTCCTGAAAGTGGTATCTCAGGAACACCTTGAGGGAATTTTTTGTATTTCACTTTGTTCTCAAGCAAGAACTGATTTGATTTTGGTGGTTAAAGGTCAAGGTCACTGTGACCTCACAAAACTGGGTTTTGGCCAACTTCCTGGGGTAGTACAGACATGGATGCAAACTGCGGCCTCACCAGCAGGCGGAGGTAAACAGCTGTGATGGGGTTATTCCAGTTTAATAGATGAGGGAGTGGTTTCAGGTGTGGCCAAGTCACTTTTTCTGGGGCTGCAAACACACGTTGGCTTTTATGAAACCGTCAGTCATCTATGTATCATAAGCTTTTAATTTGCCTGTAGGGTTGAAAAATCTAGAAATTGAAACTTAATCTTCTTTTGGCATCACTTCAGTCAGTCTTATTGGCACTGGTATGTGCTGCTGACATAATTGATGCCACATTTATGTGAATAACGTGTCCTCCATCTAACAGAGGGCCACAGAAATGCTCCCTGACATCGTGTCTGTAGTTGGAGACTGGAAACAGTGTGTTCTAATCCTCATTTCTTCTTTATTGTCTCCACTAACAGACATCAAGGTGTCGGGTTACCTGAACCTTGCAGCTGACTTCACACATAACTTCACTGACGGCCTGGCCATCGGAGTGTCGTTCCTGGTCAGTCCTGCGGTGGGCGCCGTCACCACCCTCACCATCCTGCTGCACGAGGTCCCACATGAGATCGGAGACTTTGCCATCCTTGTTCAGTCCGGCTGCACCAAAAAAAAGGTAGCTGATAACTCAAGCTGCAGCTTCATCTTGTCCAACACAGACAATAGGCAGGATCCTGAAGGAAGTCTATTGGCCCAGTCTTCTGTAGACCCAGTCATCAAATAAATGGACTTTGCTAAATATAGATTTATATAATACATTTGACTTTGTGAAATATCACAGTGATCCCCCCTTAAAATAAAGAGCCGGCAGCAAATTGAAATTTGTAGGGCCTTTAAAGAATAATTGGTGTATAATTACTGGTTAAATGTTTTCAGTTTCTATGCATATTGATTTGAAAATAAATGTTTTAATCAAACTTAATTTGTGTAAGAGATTGTGAAGAAAAAAAAGCAATTGTGTTGTAGTTTTGGAGACTCTTAAGACTTCAATCATCCTCTTCCTCTTTCCCATCAGGCCATGTGTCTACAGCATAGACTGTATATATAAATGGATGTAGGGTCCGTGACGTCACCCATAGGATTCTGCAGAGTTGCCGAGAAGCCCTTAGTAGGCGGAGTCGGCCACTAACGGCTCGACAGTGACGTCAGAGTTCCACTCCCGCCTGCTCCAGCCTGCTCCAAATAGAGTGGCGAAGTCCCTCCCCTTCCGGTGGACCTCCATGGGACCTTATTTCGGAAAAATTATGTATTGAAGTCAATGGAGAGAGAAAGATTATCTTTCGATCCCGTTTGAATTGTGCCACGAATTACACATATGATGTTTGTCAATTTAAAAGATAATTTTGCAAGTCAAAAAAAAAAAAATGTGTCGTAAAACTGTGAAGTAACACATTTGTTTGTGTGAAACGCTCAATGAACTACATCTCTGGTCAACAACACACGTCACCAAGATGGCCGTCACTACTGTCTTGTCAACAAAACGATTGACCAATCACCACAATGAAAACACAATGAAACACGTCCTGAAGAATGTCATGCAAAGCTGCCTGCCTGCCTTCCTTTGATTCATGATACATGAAGTAGAGAAGATCGCCGATGCTAACGTTAGCGTTAGCATTTCTCCCCCGGGCTTAAATGGTGTATTATAGAATGATCACACCGGTGACAGTACTATTCAAAGGGTTCACGAAATATGACTACTACTCTTACTGTTTAACATTTTGGGTTACTTAATGTTACTTCATGTTAAGGCTAATAAAAATGACAAGGCTGTAATGCTAACTAACGTGCTAGCTACTAGCTAGGTAGCTAACTTGATCAAGCCACTCCTGGTCCTTTCATCAGACGGGAAGCAAAAGAACGAGCAAGACCCATTGCTGGTATAATAACAACCTGGTACTAAGCACACAGGCATCTTGTTAAAGTTATCTTATCTTAGCCAGCGCCATATAGATAGATTATATCTATATTGCGCTGATTTTAGGTATCTGAATGGTGGAGGAAAACAATTGTGACATCACTTACGCGACTCTGGGATTTGTAGTCTTTCTAGTTACGTATTTTTCATAGTCTTATATTTCAACAGTTTTACGACAAACTGTGACTTTTTTGACATGGAAATTATTTTTTAAGATTGACAAACATCATATGTGTAATTCATGGCACAATTCAAACGGGATCGAAAGATACGTTTTCTCTCCTCATTGACTTCAATGCATAATTTTTCCGAAATAAGGTCCCATTACCCGGAAGTAAGTGGGCGTGACTTCGCCACTCTATAAGGGCAAAGAGGCGGAGCCGAGGCGGGTCCTGCTGCCACCGGACTGGAAGTTCCAGAGCTAGCTGAAGCTACCAAGCTAAGCTAACATGCTCCCCATCTGCACACTGCCGTCTCATTTTACGTTTCTTAGGTAAGCGGACATGAGACTATTCAGCAAAACTATAAATAATAATCTAAGTTGAGTTTTTAGCATAATACTTCAGAATCTTAAAATCCCTTAACGTTTGTATGCAATTGTGCTAAATTCAACACTGGAATCAAGCAAATATTAATGTTTGCATGACATTAGTTATTTATATTTTGCCATCACTTAATTATACGTTTAATACATTTAAGTTAAGCTAAGGTACATGTGATGATAGCTAGTTAGTGCTCTTACCTGTGAGGCCTCCTCCAAACAGCATTATAACCAGACTGTATCATTAAAACTACAAGTACCAGTTCTAGATCCTTGACTTTAGACAAACAATTCAAAAGACAAAATGTATTTAAAGACCAATCTTTATTTGAAGGTGCCTCTTAACCTGATATATTAGTTATACAGTAATAGTATTGACAATCTAAAAAAACTGAGCAACTCAACAGTCAACTTTATATTTCTTATTGTCTAAAGCATTTATTATTTTCATTTTCCCCCTCTCATATTCAGTGTGGAGTGTGGATGGATTGAGACAGCGTGGTGTCCAGAGAGCTGCAGAGACTTCAGGGAGAAACCTCCGTGTGATGGACGTCCTGTCTGTTGGTTTGGCCGGAGAGGACTGAGGGTCTTTCCTCAGCGAGGAGGACCAGACCTGATGGATGCTGGACATAGCTGATACCAACTGCACAGGCCTAGTCTGTCACTTTATTTGACTAAATGTGTTTACTTATACATTTAATAGGTTTACACCTTCTGTCCATATGTGCTTTTTATTTAAAACATGTTTGATTAACTTTTCGTTCACATTTCAATAAATTGAATTTGTATTTGCACTCCTTTTGTCCATTATTCTTACTGAAAATGTTAGATTACACATTCACATCCGACTGAAGATTGGCCCCATTTATTTGCGTTGCAAACTCTGCGGTACAAGGTACATGTTGTGAAGCTCATGAAGTGAGGCAGCTGATGGAGTGTAGATGTGGAAATAGGTGCATTCGATCAGCTGACTTTGTTTTCACAATAAAAGTAGTTTCTTAGTGAATGTCCTGTACTGGTCTTAACATCTCATAACATCAGCTTTTAATTTTCCGATTGGATGTTTTTCTTGACCCTCGGAGAAAGAGGAGATGCTGAGTCGTGTCTTTCAGGCATGTCCTTTCCTAACAAAAATTACAGGAAACATAAAACATATTATTGCAGAACAAGTGTGTTATTTATGAAAGAGGTGTGTTTGTGTTTAGGGGCTGTAGATATAATTATTTTGTAATGTTTTTTTTTATTTCAACATTGAGCTACAAAGACAATCAGATTATGAATGAACAGTATGAAATTCATCAACATTGAAATGTATTTTATTATCAAAATAATATTTAACTGTTATTAAAACAAGCTTGCTCTGTTATCTCACTGAAAGAATAACTTTTACCACGTTTTTACAGACAATATTGAGAGATAAATAGCAGTTCTCACTATGTGTTAAATAGCTTTGCCTTCAATACATTAAATTAGAAAGCTGACAAGTCATATTGCTTGTTAAGATCTAAATGTAACCCTTTGCATGGAAAAAAACCTCAACTTAACTGATGTGTAGGTGATCTAGTATTTAGTATTGTTTAATTGTTTCGGCCAGTCTCTGATGGAGATCCTGGCCCTGCTGTTCGGAGTGGGCATGGTGGTGCTGATCGCTGAGTACGAGTGAGACGGAGAGAGAAGAGGGTCAAAAGTGGTTGAAAAAAAATAATGCTGGTTTTAAGTAGAGTCCAATTGGATTATGATTTGTCAGAGGTGTTTTTTTGTATTGCTTCTGTTTTGGGACGAGCACCACCTACTGATGGGGAATGGATGATTTTTGTTATGTTCTTTTAGCGTTTCACTTGCTGATTTGTTATACTGTATTTTTGGGAGAGACTGAGAGCTGGAAAGTAACGACCTGATGGAAACATATTTTAAGGACTGCTTTTCATTAAGGGTCTACATCAGGACTGGATGAGAAATATTTCTGTCCGCTGGTTTCACAATTTACTCACCGTGTTCAAGACACCGATCGTCAGCTTCACTTTTACTGGTGGCCGGTTTCCAAGAGTGGCTTAAAGTAGATTCATCTTCCAGCACATTTTCTGTCCTTTTGCTAATTAAATCTGCATTTCAGAGTTGGGTCAGTGAAAGGGAAGCAATGGTCAGGCTCCGTTGTTCTCACTACAGTGAGCGGCTCGTTAACGTGTCTGTCTGGAGATGATGTATGTTAATATTTTTACATTCCACAAAATAAAAGTAAAAGTTGTGGCTTCTACAGATGTACTCTGAAGTCATTCAAATCTTTGTCAAAGTAACAAGCTGTTTTAGCCTTTACCATTCCTACACAATCTACTGTATAGTTTATTAACTAATGATGGATAGTCAAGGAGAATACTGACAGCTGTGATGAACATCCCCAATAAAGGTTTATCATTTCCTGTGATTACTTTGCAGCATGTTTTCTAATTAAAGGCACATACTTTTAAATGTAATGTACTGCTATAGAAAGTCTGTAAATAATCAAATGGCCTGTTTTTAAAATGTAACATGATTGAAATTCAGTTCGAAGGAACAGAATGTAATCTGCTATCAAGCTAGGAAGCAGATAATGCTCAATTGGCTCTTGACTCTTTAGAATTCCTGAGAAGGACAGATGGGTTACACAAGTATAGCACAGTAGTATGAAAACATGTCACCTGACACCTTTCATGCAGATCAAGTTTCACTGCATACTAGCTCAATAAACAGCTGAGGGTGTTTTGCCAAACGATGAAAATGCAGTTATCTCACAAGTGGTAGTCCAAATGACCTTAATACTTCCTAACCTTTTTCTATTAAGTGACATATTTTATGGATATTTAACATTATATTTTATGCATAACATTACACCACAGAACAACTGATAGATGGTACAATTAACTCGAATATTGAACACAATATCTGCAGGAAGTTTACGTCAGAACAAAAGGTTTAGATGAATATGGAGCAGATTATTTTCTCTCAATATTGCGTCAGATGAGTTCGCATTAAAAAAAATGTGTATGTTGAAGAAGACATATTATGCTCATTTTCAGGTTCATATTTTTGCCTCTTTTTTTTTCTGTCCAATGGAAGCGTTTCAGGCAGGGGGGGAGTGGGAGAGAAACTCCCTCTGGTGGGAACACAGGGGTTTTAGCCTTTGCAGACCATTAACATGCACAAAAACCTATAGAACATAGTCCAGGAAAAACCAAAAGCATAATAGGGCCCCTTTAAATCTATATCTTGGTCTGTATTCGGCCTATTTATATAAAAGAAATTACTTAATGCACTACATTTGACAAATGTAATATTTCCCTCTCCTTGATGCTTGGCCAATGTTCTGTTGTGTTTCGCAAAGAGCGCAAGCTATGTTAATATGTGTTTAGTTCTTCACTATGCCTTGAAGGTAGGGTAGGTAAGAATGGAGAAACCAGCTCGAGTGCGCTAGAATTTGAAAGTACACAACCGAAAACAATCTGCCCCTTCCTTCAGACTTCCTTATAGAGCCCCTCCTCCAACACACACAAACGCGCACATGACCAATGAGGGCACGAGATAAGTTTGTGCACGAGATGGAAGGCTGACAGGC